AATAGTGTATTCATCACTAAATAAAGTCATGACCTCTCCAAAACCACTTTTATCATTATAATAAGATTCAACACCCTCCAAAATAGTGGGATCATTACCTCCTAAAGTTAACACTCTTCCAAACCCACCTTTATCAATATAATCATCATAAATAGGAGGCACGCTTTCATCATAATAAATATTCTCATCAAAACTTGGGGGACTAAAAATATCGTATTCATCAAACATAGCATCCCTAAGCTTGTAGCTTTGCATATCATTAGCATCATGGATATTCAAAGAATTCATACTAACAACATTGAAATAATGCTCACCATACAAAGATTTTATGCCAAACATTTTATAGACTTCTTCTTCCAACATTTGAGCACAATTTTCCTTTGCATCATTTTCACGGAAGATATTAAAAAGATGAAGCATATGAGGCAACCTCAGTTCCATTTTTTTGTAGTTTTATTTTATAAACTAAACTAGTGATAAAACAAGAAACTAAAAGATTTGATAACAAGATCTAAAGATATACCTTCAAGCACTAACCTCCCCAGCAACGGTGCCAGAAAAGAGTTTGATGTCTACTATGCAATCTTCTTCTTGTAAACTCGTGTTGGGCCTCCAAGCACAGAGTTTTGTAGGATAGTAGCAAATTTCCCTCAAGTGGATGACCTAAGGTTTATCAATCCATGTGAGGCATAGGATGAATATGGTCTCTCTCAAACAACCCTGCAATCAAATAACAAAGAGTCTCTTGTGTCCCCAACACACCCAATACAATGTTAAATTGTATAGGTGCACTAGTTCAGCGAAGAGATGGTGATACAAGTGTAATATGGATGGTAGATATAGGTTTTTTTAATCTGAAAATATAAAAACAGCAAGGTAGCAAGTAACAAAAGTGTGCGAAAATTGTATTGCAATGTTTAGAAACAACGCCTAGGGTTCATACTTTCACTAGTGCAAGTGTTCTCAACAATGATAACATAATTAGATCATATAACAACCCCTCAACTTGCAACAAAGAGTCACTCCAAAGTCACTAATAGCGGAGAATAAACGAAGAGATTATTGTAGGGTATGAAACCACCTCAAAGTTATTCTTTCTGATCGATCTATTGGGCTATTCCTATAAGCGTCACAAACAACCCTAGAGTTCATACTAAAATAAAAACTTAAGACACATCAACCAAAACCCTAATGTCACCTAGATACTCCAATGTCACCACAAGTATCCGCGAGTTTGATTATACAATATGCATCACACAATCTCAGATTGATCTATTCAAACCAACACAAAGAACTTCAAAGAGTGCCCCAAAGTTTCTACCGGAGAGTCAAGATGAAAACGTGTGCCAACCCCTATGCATAAGTTCACAAGGTCACAGAACCCGCAAGTTGATCGCCAAAACATACATCAAGTGGATCACGTGAATATCCCATTGTCACCACAGATAAGCACATGCAAGACATACATCAAGTGTTCTCAAATCCTTTAAGACTCAATCCGATAAGATAACTTCAAAGGGAAAACTGAATCCATTACAAGAAGGTAGAGGGGGAGAAATATCATAAGATCCAACTATAGTAGCAAAGCTCGCGGTATATCAAGATCGTGCCAAATCAAGAACACGAGAGAGAGAGAGAGAGAGAGAGAGAGAGAGAGAGAGAGAGAGAGAGAGAGAGAGAGAGAGATCAAACACATAGCTACTGGTACATAACCTCAGCCCCAAGGGTGAACTACTCCCTCCTCATCATGGAGACCGCCGGGATGATGAAGATGGCCACTGGTGATGGTTCCCCCCTCCGGCAGGGTGCCGGAACAGGGTCCCTATTAGCGATATACCCCGCAGTATGACCCGGCCGGATGTATGACCCGGTGATAGCATATTTATGCACATAGTATTTTAAGCCTTTTTGCATCACAAATTAAACATATGAACAGTAATTACTTATAAAGTACTCATTCCTGTAGAAATATTCCTATTATGATATGTTTTTACAATACTTCTTCATATTTTGCAGAACTGGTGCGTTTAGGCACCCAAACTTCTTCGAAAGTGGTTTCCACACTTAACCAGGGATCAACTTGGATAAGAATTCAGCTCTTGAGGGGGCGAAATGAAAAGTGCTAGAAGAGGTGGGGAGGAGGTGTCTGCTTGCGTGCGTGAGAAGAGCTGGATCCAGAGGCGCGATCGACCAGACGGCCTGTCTGATCCCACGCGCGACCCCGATGACACAAAGCAGAGGAGTGGGGGTCGAAGAAAAGAGTTAATTACACCTGCAGTACAAAAACTTGTAGCGAGTTAACAGAATCATACAAAAACTAAAAAAAACCCAGAAAAATGGTACACTAACTTATCTAACAGCACTTTTTGATACAATTTCCGTTAAAACTAACGTTGCACAGTCTTGCCGCCGTTAACTGCGTGCATGTCGCCTCACACTCTTCCTCTGCCCCGTGTAGGTCCCACTTGTCAGTTGAACAGTGAAAATAAAAGAATCAAAAAACAGGGGTGCCGTGATTCGAGCCATAGACCTACGCCTACCAGCCTGCGCGTGCTGCCACTGCACAAGACCAGTCTTCACACCGAGGTTCAGGCATCAATGTTCTACTGCCTCCGTTCCTAAATATAAGTCATTTTAGAGATTCTACTGTAGAACTATATTCGGATGTATATAGACGTCTTTTAGAGTATATGTTCACTCATTTTGCTTCGTATGTAGTCTATAGTAGAATCTCTTAAAAGACTTACATTTAGGAACGGAGGGAGTATAGTCTTACCTAGAGACATGTGCTAGCTGTTCGACGAACTAGTTAAGCGATGCAAAGAGGTTTTTCATAAACACATTAACGCTCTGCCAGTAAATTATAGACTGCTGCTTATTGGTTTAATTTACATTTTGACATCATGCTGCATATATTTAACCCTTATTTGTATATGTGACAGAGCGTCCGTTTCTGACAAAACCTTGTAGCCTTTCGACGTTCTCACGAAACTAGTTTTAATAGTTTAGCCTCACATGTCGGTTGTCATATGCTTCAACTTGCATGTTTAAATACTTGAATATATCTGCTAAGAACATCTATCTGCGATGCAGTTTGATTGGAAAATTTATACAGTTTTTAGTCTGTTTTCACTCCAAATCTGGCTATTGTTTTTTTCAAAAACTGGATTTTTAAAAACCTACTAAAATAAAAAAAATATTTTAGGAAAAAAATTAGCATGTGTTCTATAAAAAAGGTTCGGTATATATATTTAAAAAATCACTGTATATCATAAGCGAGGGACGATGGAAAACGCCTCGCGCTCCTCCTCCTCGGGACCTGTGACGACGAGGCGATTCATCCATTTCCGCCCTCCTGCCTTCCCACCCACATGCATTACCGCGCCTTCCCCAAACCCTTCCAATTCATCCATCGAGCCTCATGGTGGACGCTCGTCGTTGCAAAGTCAGAATCTGCTGGCTACACCCGACGACAAGAGTGGCGGAGCCGGTGTCGCTACCTGTGGCGTCGCCGCCTCCACCAATCGATGCGAGCTCGCCAGAAGTGCGCAAGGAGACGCGGAGGGTGGTGCTGGAGCGGTTTCTAGATCAGAAGGAGTGGTCAGAGCTCTTCACCAACATCATCCAACATGCAAACTTTGAGGAATTCATGAAGTTCACTGGCGAGGACGGCTGTAGTGACGTGGAGCTCCTCTTTTGGGTGATCCAGGAGGCGGAATCTCTAGATCCGCAGCAGGTGGCGCAGTGGGTAACCTTCCAGACGGCGAATCCAACGCCCCTCAACATTGCGCCCCCTCGGGTGGATGTGGTCGCCAACATTCCATCGCGAGTGCTTCCTCCAGGGGTGTGCTGCACCTGCGAGGACTAAAAAATCCTAACCTAAACTACTAACGGAGTGGAGGCACCGGGATTCCCCTCCCCTACACCAGCCACTGGAGCGACGGGTAGAGGGGAGGCGAATCCACGGGCTCGACGGTGAAGTCTGGAGAGGAGAGTTTACCCTAGCAGCCAAGGGATTATAGTTGGGGCAGGGGGAAACCTCTTTCATTAAAAAAAAATCACTGTATATTAAAGAAATGTTTATTGTGTATTAAAAAAATGTTTGTGTAATCTTCAATGTATGTAGCAAAAATGTTCACCGTATACTATAAAGTAATGTTTTGTGTGTATTTAAAAATATTTATTGTATGCTAAAAGTTCAGTGTGTATATTGATAGAAAGTTCACTGTATAGTGCAAAACCTATATAAAAAGGAAATATGCAAAAATAAAAAAGAGAAAAAAAACCAATGCAAACCGAAGATCTGAAAATAGATAAAAAGAAAATGAAAACAGAAACAAAAAGACACACACATAAACAGAAGTCGATAAGTCAGCAAAGCGTTGTGGTCGCCATCGCTGAGCGGGGACGTGTCTAAACCTTTGGTACAAAAAGCTAACTGGCTGCACGAGGACACAAACAATTGAATCGTGTAGTGGTAAAGGACCTAATCATGTATGCTTTGCGTCTCAGTTTCGGATCACGGAGAGCGCAGTTTTTTCGATTCCTTTTTTGCACTGTCCAACTGACAAGTAGGACCCACACAGAGCAGAGGGAGAGCGTCAGCCGGCGTGCACGCTGTTAACAGCGACAGACTGTGCAGCGTTAATTTAAACGGAAGTTGTATCAAAGTGTGCTGTTAGATAAGTTATTGTACTATTTTTCTGGGGTTTCTTAGTTTTTGTATGATTTTGTTAGTTTGCTGCAAGTTTTTGTACTACAGGCATAATTAACTCCGAAGAAAAAGAGAATCCAAGTGGCCGACTGCTTTCTCTCGTCCTTGCTACTCACCTACCAAACCAGATGGGGAGGAGTAGGTGGAGAAGGGGATCGGAGGAAGGATAGTGAGGAGGAGAACCAGATCGATTCCACGAGAAAAGAGAAGGGGGTCGCCCAGATCCTCGACCGAACATCGGAGCGTCGGTCTTGCCGGTAGTCCACCACGAGGCATCTCCTCCCTGATGGCATGCTCATCTTCAACAACGCCGACCTGCTGCACTTCCTCGTCACCATCCTCAAGAAACGGAGATCCTACTCCTCTCGAACGCCTGCTGTTGCGATCTCCCTCTCCAACGCCCGCTGCTGATCTTCTCCAACTCCGACGACCATCGCTGCAACATCTCCTCGACATCAACAATGGGGCGTCGAGCTCCTGGTGGTGCTCTGCTCCAGGTGGTTGGCTGACCTTCCGCCAAGGCCACCACGGTTCTTCCCCAAGGCCGGGTCCTTCGCTGTCTATCTTCGTCCCTGCTGCTCTTCTTCGATTGCAACATCTACGACCTCGAATTGAAGATCATCACGACCCATAGGCTATGAACCTCTGCCTTCTCGTGTTTCTGTTCTCTGAATATATGCACTGTTGGGTCTGAAATTTACTTTGTTATCTGTGTATCTTTGCTGAACCCCCATGTATCCTTGCTGAATTGTTGTGACCCTTTGCTGGATATTGAGTTAGTAGTTATTTTCTTGTGAGCTACTAGCAATTTAATTGGTTGCATGAGGTGTGCATGATGGCTAAACCATCTTCCATGTGCTATCTCTGAACCCTTTACCTTTGCTGTCTATTATGTAGTTTTTGCTTGGATCCAGTGACTACTTGTTATCACGACAGTTCAATTAGTCTGATAAGTTGTCTGTAGCTCTATTAAAATCAAATATTCTGTTTTCCTGAATGTTTCGAATGTGTGCTTCGAAGTTCTAGATCCCTGTGGAGAACCGACATCCTAAATCACTATATCTACCTTCAATCATTTTGGCGTCGTTGCCGGGATCTAAATTTCATTAGCACATTAGTAGAAGCAGATCAGGATTTATTTTAGGTCGATTCCGTAGTATTGCTGGCAAATAACCATTTTCTAACATTGGCCGCAGTTTTGAGAAAAACTAGCATGTGTCAATTTCAGGAACTTTACACGAAATTATCTTATGTTACAATCTGAAGAAAGTTCACCAGAGCCATTTGATCCATAAATTGAAAGGACTTTATTGAGAAGAAGAAGAGAGAATCAAACACCATTTCAAGTTGCTGAAATTTTGCAAGATCAAGAAGAAGAAAAGATGCCTGATCTAGTGCCTTTGCTTAGGGACTTGTGGGTCCCAAGAGATCATGTGATACCAGGAGAAATGGTGCAACCAATTATTCAGGCAAACAATTTTGAACTGAAGCCAGCTCTGATTAACATGGTACAACAGTCCAGATTTTGTGGAACAACTTTAGAAGACCCACATGAGCATATAAGGACTTTCTTGGAGTATTGTAACACCCTCAAGCAAAATGGAGTTTCACCGAGTGCTATCAGATTGTCACTATTTCCATTTTCCTTGAGAGATGGAGCAAGAGTATGGCTTCACTCATTGCCTGAACATCTAAAGAATACTTGGGAGACTTTATTGCAGACATTCTTGAGAGATACTTTCCACCAACAAAAGCTGCTGAATACATGGACAAGTTAACAAGGTTCACTCAATAGGATGGAGAAAGTTTGTATGATGCATGGCAAAGATTCAACTCTTTAATCAGAATGTGTCCTCATCATGGTTTAGAAAGATGGTTCGTGTTACAAACCTTTTACAGAGGACGAGGACCGATTACTCAGACTAGAGCTTTTGTCGATTCTTCTACTTGAGGGGGAATCATGAACAAAACTCTTGATGAAGCATTTGCATTGATTGAAAGTATGGCGTCTCATCATTTCCAATGGTCGAGTGAAAGAGCAATAGCACCACCACATCCTGGTGTGTACAATGTGTCTGCAAATGATATCATGGCAGCTCAGATTGACATATTGAACAAGAAGATGGACAATATCATGTCAAATTGCATCAGTGCATCTGTAGCTTCAGTAAGTGTGCCTCAAATGTGTGATGTATGTGGCCAAGTAGGTCATCCTTCAACAGAATGTACCTTCTACTCAGCAATCGGATCATCAGTTTGAGAAGTAAGTTATGCCCAAAGTCAAGGTCCATTCTCAAACAACTACAATCCTTCTTGGAGGAATGATAGAGGCAAATGTGTCCCGTCTTTCAATGAGATGATGGTTATCGCTTTGGTGGAAGTCAACTTTGACGATCCAACTACAAACGTGCGATGACGTCGCGCCTTAGCAATTGCTAAACCAACTTCGAGAGGTTATTGACCACGCCGAAGCACGATCAACCTGACCACGACGGTCTGTTTCCTGCGAGCAAACGAAGAACAAGCAAGAAACTGAGATTGCAATCTGGATATTGCGAATATAAGATGAAAGCTTTATTGATCAAGGTGGGGTTCTGTGACGCCTTTGTCTCGTTGTTGAACACAAACGAAGTACGCGAAGTTGCAGCTATGACGAACTTTTAATCTAAACAAAACCCAAAGCCTAAACGACGCCCTAAGGGCTATATATATGGAGGAAGAGGGGAGAATTTCGTGGCCCGGGGCAAGGGGTCCGAAACCAACCCTATCTCTTGTTTCCCCACACATACAGACTCTAAAAACAGCCTACACTCAAGTATTTTGAAAATACATGGGCCTGGCCCAATAATAAGGTGAAGCAACACCTATAATAGCCTCTGGACGAAAGTTATGAAGTAGCGTCTTGTATATTTCGTCCAAGGCTTCACGCACTCATTATGGTGGCTTCAACGTCCTGAAATCATCACTTGTAACTCCGTTCTTGTTCCCCTTGCGCATGCCATCATCTTCATACTTGTTCTTGCTCCAATGTTCATCCTTCTCCAAGCTAGGCCCTTCATTTGTAAGCAAAACAAATCTATCCAATTTAGGCAGCATCATATTCTCATGAACATTAGAATCACTACCAAGAAACGAAAGTACCTGGTAATTTAGTTGGCGTGCGTGAGCTCTAGTAATTGGTCCAGTATGTATATCAGCAGGGGCTGTGGGTGTAAAAATGGTATTGATGTCCTCATCAAGGAACCATCCAAACTTGTCATACAAGAACAATCAGTCATATGCAAGAGGATCGACAGTATAAGGAAATCGACCACCAAATCATCCAAGTCAATTTCAAGTGCCGAGGAAGAACGAACAACAAAATGTTCAGTCAAATGTAATGGAGGAAATCATGAGGATGCAGTTGGAATTGATGAACAATATGACAAAAGAAGTTAATGGCTTAAAAGATTCTGTTAAGAAACTTGTGAGCAAAATGGATAGTATGGTGGGAGAAAATGAAGCAAGACTGCCTACTCAACCAATTCCAAACCCGAAAGCTCACTGTGGGGGAATATCTTCAGTTGATGCAGTAACTACAAGGAGTGGAGTTATGTCAGGACCATTACTTCCTACTCCGAAGAAATATGTCCCTCCTGCTATGAGGCCAAGTTCATCCGAAACTCCACCTTCAACATCGTCAGAGAAACTAAAGGAGAAAGAAGTTGATAACCAAATTGAAACTGAAGTCAGATTTCCTGGTTTCCAAACAAGAGCTGAGCCTTTGCTAGAGGAAGCAATAACAACCAACAACATTCCCTTTCCTAAGAGGTTTAACAAACACAAAGATGACAGGCAATTTTCCAAATTTTTGGAAACTATGAAAGGAGTTCAGATTACTATTCTTATTCTTGAAGTTGTCTTGCATGTTCCAATGTATGCCAAATATTTCAAGGAATTACTAACAAAGAAAAGAAGCATGTCTGAGCCAGAACTAGTGACTCTATCAAAGGAATGCAGTGCAATAATTCAGAATTCCATGCCTGAAAATTTGGATGATCCAGGAAGGTTTTGTGTAACATGTGTGATTGGAAAGAAAACTTACAGTTCTCTATGTGACTTGGGCTCAAATGTTAGTGTGCCACATTCAGTTAGCAAAAAGATGTTCTTTGGAGAATTAAATCCAACAGCCATAACTCTTCAGTTAGCCGACATAACATATAGGAAACCTGTTGGAATTCTTGAGGATGTTCCAATCAAAGTTGGGATGTTTGCTTATCCGGTTGACTCTGTAGTGCTAGATATGGAGGACAAGAGTGATGCTGTGATTCTTAGAAGACCATTTTTGGCCACAGTTGGTGCACTTATTGATGTCCAAGAAGCTAAATTGAGCTTGAGGTTTGGAAATGAAAATGTGGAGTTTGACATGAAGAATGCAACCCATGTGGAGAACACTGCTACAGAATTGATACACTACAGAAATGTGTGGAAGAAGGTTATAAAGAGAGGTATAGAAGTAATTGTTGTGAAGTAGTTGAGGAGGACAATAGTTAAATTAGATATGAGGAAATTAGACATGTGAGCATGTTGGGAAATAGTGCAAGGCCATTAGAGAAGATGCAACCAAGGCAAATAGAAATGAAACAACTTCCAAAAAGTTTGAAGTATGCATTCTTAGACAATGAAAACTGATGTCTACTACACAACCTTATTCTTGTAGACGTTGTTGGGCCTCCAAGTGCAGAGGTTTGTAGGACAGTAGCAAATTTCCCTCAAGTGGATGACCTAAGGTTTATCAATCTGTGGGAGGCGTAGGATGAAGATGGTCTCTCTCAAGCAACCCTGCAACCTAATAACAAAGAGTCTCTTGTGTCCCCAACACACCAAATACAATGGTGAATTGTATAGGTGCACTAGTTCGGCGAAGAGATGGTGATACAAGTGCAATATGGATGGTAGATACAGGTTTTTGTAATCTGAAAATATAAAAACAGCAAGGTAACTAATGATAAAAGTGAGCACAAAATGTATTGCAATTGTAGGAAACAAGGCCTAAGGTTCATACTTTCACTAGTGCAAGTTCTCTCAACAATAATAACATAACTGGATCATATAACTATCCCTCAACATGAAACAAAGAGTCACTCCAAAGCCACTAATAGCGGAGAACAAACGAAGAGATTATGGTAGGGTACGAAACCACCTCAAAGTTATTCTTTCTGCTCGATCTATTCAAGAGCCCGTAGTAAAATAACACGAAGCTATTCTTTCCGTTCGATCTATCATAGAGTTCATACTAGAATAACACCTTAAGACACAAATCAACCAAAACCCTAATGTCACCTAGATACTCCATTGTTACCTCAAGTATCCGTGGGCATGATTATACGATATGCATCACACAATCTCATATTCATCTATTCAACCAACACAAAGTACTTCAAAGAGTGCCCCAAAGTTTCTACCGGAGAGTCAAGACGAAAACGTGTGCCAACCCCTATGCATAGGTTTATGGGCGGAACCCGCAAGTTTATTACCAAGACATACATCAAGTGGATCACGTGATATCCCATTGTCACCACAGATAAGCACGACAAGACATACATCAAGTGTTCTCAAATCCTTAAAGACTCAATCCGATAAGATAACTTCAAG